ATAAAAACCACGAATCGAATTTTAACAATTCCACTTTCCAATCCACATAAGAAAAAAAAGCATATTTAGTTTAGACCTAATCAATTTGTTCGACCTAAAATCAGAAATCTTTATCACAAATTCAAATCCCAACTCAATCGGTCAATCTCGACGACAACAAGAAGCTGCCACAGTTTCTAATCGACGGAGGCCGCCGAAAAAAGTAAAACTAAGAGAGAGAGAGAGAGAGAGAGAGAGAGAGAGAGAGAGAGAGAGAGAGAGAGAGAGAGAGACCCATCAGCACGAGGTGGCTACATAGGCGGAGATCCGTCTTGGCGAGTTTGCTAGAAAAGTAGAGACTCGACAATGGGAGTGGCGGCGAGGCGGCTTTGTCCGACGATTGCTTCCGGCGCAAGGGAGATACGCGGCTTGATGATGTTGTGTGATATGACCATATATGTGGACCGAAACTAGTCTAAGTATGTGGAGCTCGACCGAAGTGAAGAACAAGCTAACAAAAGAAGGTTGTCAAGCTTGAATAGTTGGAAGACCTCACCCTCGGACGGTTGTCAAGCTGGAATAGCTGGAAGACCTCACCCTCGGACGACCTCGGGTTGTAACTCGACCTACCCCTTAGGTGACCTAAGGACCCTCTGTATGAACTACCTCATACGACCTAGGCGACCAAAGACTCGGCCTTGACCAACAAAATATGTGATGGACGACCTGAAAAAGAGATCATGCCCTAAAGCAACAGAATGTAAGGGTAGAAGGAATCTTGGGAAGATAAGAAGAAATCTAAAAGTGTCTAGGATATTAGAAAATGAGTAAGATTTGAAAATCGAAAGTCGAGCTTTTAAAGTATACCCTAACAGAAAGGTCATTCTCATTCGATCTCAACCCATCTGAGCATGCTCCTAAGCCAATGTGAAACGGTTGCCGCCCTGAACCAGTTCTCGCCGCCCAAACAGAGAAGCCACTTGTTCAAGTTGTCAAAAGCCAAAAATTATATTACATAATAATGCCATACAACAACAACAACAAAGCCTTTTATTCCCAAACAAGTTGGGGTAGGCTAGAGATGAAACCCAATAGAAACAGTAGTAAAAAAAAAAAAAAAAAAAAAAAAA